TAGAGTGGGTATAGACTGGGCAGCTGTTTAGTCTAGGGTAGAGTGGGTATAGACTAGGCAGACTGTTTAGACTGGGGTAGAGTGGGTATAGACTAGGCAAGACTGTTTAGCTTGGGGTAGAGTGGATATAGACTAGGCAGACTGTTTAGACTGGAGTAGAGTGGGTATAGACTAGGCAGCTGTTTAGACTAGGGCAGAGTGGGTATAGACTAGGCAGACTGTTTAGACTGGGGTAGAGTGGGTATAGACTGGGCAGACTGTTTAATAATTATAATTATTTATAATAATGTTTATTAATAATGATAATATTATTTTAGATAACTGATAAAGCAATGAGAGGAGCTAGAATAAAACTAGAAATTGATGCTGGATCTCCAATCTTATTGATACCTCAAAGCTCTAAAACAGACAGTATCCTGGTGGCTGATCTCGGTAAATTACGATTAACTAATTGTTTTAAACACGACAGTACGCCAGGCACAATTACCTTCCTCAGACGAATAGAAGAAGAACATAAAATGGCTGAATTATTAGCGAAAGTGGCGACATCAACTCCGAAAAAGAAAGAAGATCCAGTTGTTAATGAAATGAATGAGTCGATGTATTCCCAGTATCTTCCTAAACCAGAGATAGATCCCATGTCAGCCAGTATTATTGGTAGTTTAGATAGAGATGCTCGGGAAGATGAAGAATATTTTGAGGTTAGTAAAGATCAGTCATCAATGGCATTTCTATTGGTGAGTAGGGGTTGGGGTCTGAGATTTGTCAAGCTTATTAGTCCAATAAGATACAGACCAGTAGGATTTAGAACTACAGTTCATTTCATTAGTCCAACAGTAGGATATAGAACTCCATTTCATTTCATTAGTCCAACAGTAGGATATAGAACTCCATTTCATTTCATTAATCCAACAGTAGGATATAGAACTCCATTTCATTTCATTAATCCAACAGTAGGATATAGAACTCCCTTTCATTTCATTAGTCCAACAGTAGGATATAGAACTCCCTTTCATTTCATTAGTCCAACAGTAGGATATAGAACTCCATTTCATTTCATTAGTCCAACAGTAGGATATAGAACTCCATTTCAATTCATTAATCCAACAGTAGGATATAGAACTCCATTTCATTTCATTAATCCAACAGTAGGATATAGAACTCCATTTCATTTCATTAATCCAACAGTAGGATATAGAACTCCATTTCATTTCATTAGTCCAACAGTAGGATATAGAACTCCCTTTCATTTCATTAGTCCAACAGTAGGATATAGAACTCCATTTCATTTCATTAGTCCAACAGTAGGATATAGAACTCCATTTCAATTCATTAATCCAACAGTAGGATATAGAACTCCATTTCATTTCATTAATCCAACAGTAGGATATAGAACTCCATTTCATTTCATTAATCCAACAGTAGGATATAGAACTCCATTTCATTTCATTAGTCCAACAGTAGGATATAGAACTCCATTTCATTTCATTAATCCAACAGTAGGATATAGAACTCCCTTTCATTTCATTTCATTAGTCCAACAGTAGGATATAGAACTCCCTTTCATTTCATTAGTCCAACAGTA